AGCCGTAGGCTAGTTCATCTCTTAGCTGAAAAAGTTAATATTAATAATAATTTAAATGAATTACAGGGTGGCAAGTGAACCAGGAAAACCGGGAAAAAGTCGGGAATTTATTTTCACCAGGAAAAAACAGGAATTTCATAAGTCCACCAGGAAAATAATCTTGTTTGTATAATTTAAATAGGCTTTAAATTTTATGTATGTCATAGTTTCTTTTTATAATCAGGTCAAAACTAACCATTTTGTTCAAGCTAAATCTTTCACACAACTAAACATTGATGAACAAAATTTACTCTAAGAATTTAGTAAATATATTTTGTATTTATTTTTAATTTCATTTTTTTTCTCGAATCAATTGCTTGTAAAGGGCGAACATGCCACTATTCTAAAAGTGTCCTGGAGTGGTATGAGGCCAATTCTGTTCATTTTGTTCCAAAGAACATGAATATGTATAAAACTACCCTAAAATTTTTGGTTTGATTCTAAACATTATAAGAAAATTGGCATGACATTTTCGGTGTCGCAATAATTTCGTGTTCGCCCTTTATGATTTGTGCTTAATTGATAGCAGACTTAAGTAGTGGCGACGCGTAACTACTTTGAAGTACCTGTTCAACACGTTCAATAAAAAAGTTCTATTTCTAAAAACTTCAGATAAGGCCTTCGAACTTCATGTAAGTTCTACAAAATTTGGGAAAGTCTTACAAGTTTCAGGAAAATCCTGTGAACTACTGTGATGACCTACGACGGTCAGGAAATCTCTAAGAACCTTCAGAGAAGTTCTACAAATTTCAGAGAAGTCTTACGAATTTCAGGGAAGTCCTTTAATCTTTGGGGAATAACTACGAATTTTACAGAATTTTCTATAGATTCAATGTAACTTCTACGACATTAGGCATTGCTTAAAACTTAAGGATAATCCTATGACACTTATGGATTTTTTTCGAGCTTCAGAGAAGTCTTCAATTCTCTTGGGAAGTCCTCTGAACTTAACATAGTTCTCCAAGCTCAAAAAAGTTTCTAGAACTTCCGAGAAGTCGATTGAACTACAGGTAGTCCTACGAAATTCATGGGAGCTCTCCAAACTTCAGGGAATTTCCAAGAAATTAAGGAAAGACCCACAAACTTTTGGAAAAACCCTTCGATATTTAAAGCCTTATGAACTTCAGAGAAGCTCATACAAATTTAGGGTCCTCATATATTCAGTTAAGTCCTTCAAACTTCAGGGAAGTCCTCAGATCTAAATAAGATCCTTAATCGTTGACAATTCTGGATCAACAATAGAAAAGGGCCCATCAGCATTTGTAAACAAACCGTTCGAAAGCTCATTCCTCACAAATCGAAGGCCGCCCACACAAACCAACACCATCATCGTGTAGGTAGAAATTGCCCCTGAAGTTCATAAGGCTTTAAATATCGAAGGGTTTTCCAAAAGTAGATTGAGGTTAAGGAAACGCCACTGAATATATTCAAAGAGCTGAAAATAGAGTTAAATTATTTAAACAACAGATCTAATTAAATCCATGATCTTCAACTTATTAACACGCCGAACCCGATGCCTCCGGTAAAACGTGTAACGGAAAGCTTGCAATGTTTGAAAAATCACAGTTCAACCATTTATCAACGTTTTTCAAATCTATATCGTCGTCTATATATATCTAATCGTCCATTTTAAACTACATACTTTAAAGATTTATTCGCTATCATCAGATTTAAAATCTTTAGATAAATGGCAAAATCATTCCTCATTTTTCGAACATTGTCAATTTGCCGTTACACACCTTACCGGAGGCATCGTGTTCGGAGTGCTAAGCAAAAACGGTTGCTCCATAGCCACCTTACATTACCACAATATACGACCGACTTAACAAAAAGCTATTCAAATGAAACGACGTCTCTGAAAGCAGCCAACAGTGTCTTCCAAACTAGATCACGCTTACACTCTTTCCGAAACTCATGGTTTAAACAATTGAACTGTTGGTTATCAACTGCGCTTCGATCCCTCTAGGGTTATCGAGCATCTCAAAACCACAGCACTCCACGGCAAAATATGATTAAGTTTTCACTTGGTATGTAATGAACAACAGAAATACGCGATAATTCATATAGTTTCAGCGGCTGATGGTTAATTTTAAATATACTAACGGTACTGCAGTACGACAACAACAGCGAATTTGTAACTTACCATTTGTCTACGATATAACACCTTTGCCCAGCACCTCCACTTGAGCTTCATGTCTGCTGTCTGTCACTGTTTGCAAAAATATCTAATAGCAATAACCTTTGTTGGAATAGGGTTTTTGATCTAATTTCCGTCCAACTAAGGACAACCCATGCTTTACCCCTCTTTCTTGAACGGGTTTTAAATGTATTGTTAAATGTTTCTATCAAAGATGACTTCTAAATGTATTCCCCTTTCATTAGGTACCGTCGAATTTGATAAAGAACTACACATTGTTGAGATATTGTTAAAAATCTAACAATGCTTCTTGATTCCAAATTCGTCCTACGAGTTTCAATTCCGTCCAAACGCATTGAAACGCCATTGGATTTTCTTCGTCTTACGGATGAAGGTAGAAAAATCGTGTTTGCTAGGAGCGCTTCTTTTGTTTTGAGAACAATGAAAAATTCACACAATACGCTCAAATAGGCTTTGTGTTGTAGCTTGTGACCTAACGCATCGGTACAAACGTATTACTAATTTGTGCACGGTGAAATCATTGATTATGCTGATGTTTTCTGCTCGATAGAACGGAAATGGACGATTACGACGAAGTAGCGCTCTACCCTACTTCCTTCAACGAAAACATTTTTTCTTGCATTGCCATGGTCACCTGAGAGGAGGTTTGCGTCTAGTACGGGGATCCTGATGGCTTACTAGATGAACCAATGTTCTTGAAAATTGCTCAACTTAAAAAAAAAATCGAAAATCGAAAAATCGAGACATTGAAAAAACAAATGTTCATGGGCTTAGAAACATTGTCAAGCATCCAAGATTTTGAAAATTCAGTCTGATAAATTTTCTTGTGACTTCTGAGTTCTAGACAGTAAACGTAGGGGAAATGTTGGCTTCGGCAATACCTCAACCTATTATCGTCAGGGAGTAAACAACGTCCTTGAGAGCTCAATTTTGGCATGTGGATACGTTGTGTTTCATAGCATGTATTGGCCAAATTTGACTGCTCTAGGATTTTGTTTACCCCCTGACGATAATAGGTTAAGGTATTGCCGAAGCTAACATTTCCCCTATGTAATCTCAGATTTTTTTTTTGTTTTCTGGGATTTGTATAATTATAACTCATACCGAATTTCGGCATTATTTCGGTCTTACGGCTAAGTCCATAACTTAATGCTAGAAGCTTAAAATGCTCCTCAGCATTCTCCACCCACACAGCTCATAAGCTAATAGAACAAAAACACGGGGGAGTTGGCCTTCTAGCCATCATCGATGCTTCCTGCATGCAATATCAAAAACGAACCGCCTTTGATCTTCACGCTTAACATCTAACATAGGTATAGCAAAATTCTACAACATTAGAATATGCTACACTAGAATGGTCACAAGGACCCCCATGCCTTGAAGGCCTAAACCATAGTAGGTACCTATCATTCCTATGTGCAGCTGTGCAGCACCAGTCAAGTTGAACGGACATCAACGTTCAACCACTCGAGCAAAGTTGTAAATTCCATTTTCTAAACCACACCGCAACCATCCTTTTAACAGTCACAGCACAGGTTGCTGCTCTGTCAACTACGGTTTGGCATCATTGTGGATGCACAATCTTGGCGCATATCTTCTCAACTCACCCAGGCGGTACCAGCAATACATGTTACATCGATCCTTGAAAGTCCAACTCACAGGCCGCTCAAATCAAATGCTACGCTGCTGCTGTCGCTACCTCCCATCTCCTGTGTGTTTCTTCCCAGTCCCCCCCGGACGAGCGAGATAAAATGTGTGTGTAGAGGGTAGGTACACAATTCGCACTTTGTCGACCAATCATCAGTAGTGGCAGCAGGGGCAGTGGCAGCAGCTGCAGCGCACGCGGGGTGACCTTTTAGGCGAAAAAGCCATGTGGCACCCTGCCTTGTGTTCAACTATTGCCAGCATCCATGAGATATGCCTATATGCACGTCGCCTGCGCTACAACCTTGAACGTTCCGCGACCAAGTTAGCCTTCTGACACAGTTTTCTAAAAAGATCATAGAGAGAAGGTGCTGCTGCTGCTGCTGCGGCAGCGACGGAACGATGATGGTGAGAACGTTCTTGATCTGTACCAGTTCTGGAGGCTGCTGCTGCGGCAGGCAGATCAGAACTCCGAGATCTGCATCTTATTCTTGTTCTAATAATTGCTCACAGTGGTGATTGGATTTGCGATCTTCACGTCAAGATGGTGGGTGTGCGGGTTATGGTGATTTAGTTTAATTTGATTATCAACCTCTAGAAAGGTTAATGTGATTCCTTCGAAGGCACCTGGCATTTTCCTCCTACTAATGGGGGGGCTGCGGCCTATTAAAATAACCACCGGCCGTGGATGGCCTTGTTGGATCATTTTTTCGCTCTCGCGCGCACCTAACGAACAATGAGATTAGAACAGCTTGAAGCAACATGAGTCGGACTTGGGTACCTATTCTCGAATTGGTTCCGCTCAATGCCGCGCACCTGAGACCGGATCGAAAGCGAGAAAGAGATGGTCCACTGCGGCTTGCAAATATATGCCTATTAAATAATTACTGAAACAATACGTTACTCGGTGTGGTGACCTACCACGAGCACATTCGGATTCTGCGCCGAAGATCATGGGCAGAGGAAGTTATTACTTCGATGTGTGGTTTCCTTCTTTATTAGGCGCGTTGGAATTCGGAAGGCTACATATCGACAGAAAATTTGGATTGGAACTCACTTTGGTCACGGTCACGCACTAATCCACAACCTTCGATCGCCTCCCCTTCTCCTCCAGCTTAGAGAGTTAATCACCTCTTTTTTTTCTCTGTTCTCCTTTCAGATTAAACAAGCGCAGTATGCACGTTATGGAAGAGGGCAGCGATGCGCTCGTCTGTTCCGATGCCACCAAGATAGTCAGTCTCAAGTCGACCGTCAGCAGTGTGGGGGCGAAAACAACTACCGCTGCCGAGGAAGTATCGATTAAGGATCCCAAATCCAAAGAAGAACAAACGATCACTCCTGGTGAGGTGGAACGGAAGGATAGCAGCGAAGAAGCACTAGTGGCATCCGGTGATGCTGCGAAAGCCGTGAGTGAGTTGAAAAAGGATGATGAAAACAAAGAAAACATGACGGTGAAAGACAATTCCAAGGAAGTACCCCGCCGGGTGGAAGTGGATGAGAAGGCTAAGGTAAAAGATGAGGAAAAGGTTGAAAAGAAAGACCGGAAGCTGGAAAAGTTGGACGAAGATGAGCTGGCGGAAGATATAATGGACAGTATCGACGACATTGTCGCGGACGCAAAGAAACAGAATGGCTCCAAGAGTGATTTCAATGATGAACTAACATTCCAGATGGATGTTGATGAAAGTGAGAAGGACTATGAAGATGACGAAGATGAACATGAAGAAGACGAAGACGATGAAGACGAGGAGGAAGGTGCTGTGGACTTGTCGTCTTCGTACGATGCCAACAAAAGCGATCGGCAGACAGATGACTCGGATGCCATCGAGATGATTGATAGTTCTCCGGAGAAGGACTCAAGCGTGGTTGGCATTAAACCAACGCGGAAACTGGAGACCCTTCAATTGGACAAAAGCCCGAGCGATAGCCGGAAGGGTAGTCCGGAAAAGGTGACGGTTGTTGTGAAGCAGGAAATAGAGGACGATTCCGAGCGGATTCAGGAATCAACAAAGGAAGCACCAGTTAGTGCAAGCAAGTCTAGTCGAGAAGAGAAGCAATCGGAGAAGCCAAGGGAAACGGAAGCTGTTTCTCGAAAGCGGCGTCGTTCTGTGGATCCCGATGATCGGGAAGAAGACGATGAACCATTAGTTCCTTCTAAAAAGCTAAAACGGGAGTTGGAATCCAACTACCCAACACATGATCGATTGCTGAAAGAGTACATCGAAACCACTTCCAACCGCTCGGTGGGTGACATCCAGAAGCACACCGATGCCCTTATGGTCGAAATTCAGACCCTAAACGAAATGATACGTGCCAAAGAAATCGAATGGAACAATATGATCCATTTGAAGAAAGTGAAAGAAGAGATCCTGCTCCGGCTCACGCGGAAGAAGCATGTCATGGACGTCATGGAGACCAAGCTAGGTGAAGTCTCAGAATACACCCACTTTGATTCCTCGAACCTCACGAACGTTCGATCCGCGTCCGTTGGTCCTCGGCCACCGACGCCACCACCGGAAGTAGACATCCGTCCCGCTTCCGTGACTCCGCTGCACAGCAGTACTCTCAATACTAGCAAGAATGCCAACGTTTCAACCAACTCGATCTCCAGCAGCCGGCAGCTACCCGGCAGCAAAGACAACAGCCTGTTTGCTCAGTTCAATCACATCAACAGCTCCGTCACTATGGTGCCATTATCAACGTCCTCCTCATCGTTGATCACTTCCACTAACACGATTCTGCAATCTCGGGCGAACATGAAATCCTCCGAAGTTGCCAAGGAGAAGCCCAATGCCGCTCAAATCCAACGGCAGATTCTCCCTAAGCCAATTCTCTCCAACCATCAGCAGATCCTGAACAACTTGGCAATTTCGGCTGGGCTCACAGCAGCTGGGGCCCCCAATACCAGTGCCAATTCGATTTCGACCTCTTCCACAACGGCAAGCGTTGCCAGTGCCGCCAATATCCTTGCCGGATTGTCCAATAACATCCTAGCTCATACGGCCGCCCTGCTGAATGGTCACCATCATCCATCGAACCATCTTACCCAATCGCAAGTCAATCAACTGCAGGTCGGACGGCAAGGCGTCATCAAAGACGTCAAAAGTATTATCGCTGACTATCGGCAAAAGCATCCGGAACAGGTGCCCCGAAGAGGACGTCGCCTGAAGAATATCCCTAGCTCCGGCTACGAAGGGATTACCATCACCAACAAGAGCGGATCGTCGCGAATGCCGGAACTTGGCTTCCTACTGGCAGAGGTAAGTGTTCACGTATATAATGCTAATGCTTGATGCTTTTGGTGCTATGGCCCATTTTGGCAAACAATTTGCCTCATTCATTTCCGACTATCACTACCTACTCTCAATTGGTAACGTACGACTTCAAGATAGACAGAAATCGAGAAATTGACTCCCATGCATCAGGTGGACATAAGGCTTACGCAAAATTGCTTGAAATTACCTCAACAATCGCAGTCCCAATTCACCCACATTACAGAATAATTCACTCACCGAATCCATTCCCCTTTCCCACACATTCCGAGTAAAACGAAACAAAATTCAACCGCCACTTACACAAACTTTCCCTTCCGTCGAACCCCCAAAACTATTCGTTTCAGAACTCCCGTCCCTCCAGCAACGATTCGTCCCAAAGCAATTCCAACAACCACCTGACCACCGTTGCTGGAGCCTTATCAACCTCACCCACCGGTGCCGGTTTCTCCATCAACGATGTTCTGGCCCAGTTTGCCAAAATGAGCCAAACCGATCGCAATTTGCTGTCCAATTTGGGTGCAGCAGCAGCAGCAGCCGCAGCCGCCGCCGCCGCAGTTAGCAGCAATGCTACCGCAACCTCATCTACTACAACCCATTCTTCATCTTCTTCCCGCCAACAGCAGCAACAGCAATCGCAACAGAACAGCGCTGCGGCCAATCTGAGTAAAAATTCCTACCCGGAAGTGACCCTGCACCCGGTGATGAATGCCAACTCCGGTGCCGGTTCGCATGCCGACATGAACCACAGCACTGGAAGTAACTCCAGCGCGGCAAATCAATCGCAACACAACAACAACAACAACAACACTAACAACTCGACCAATTCGCTGCTGCACGGTATTCTGACGAAATCGTCCTCTCGACCGAACGCGACCGGATTCACATCGTTCTCGCCGACATTGGCCCGGCTGCTGACGGCACCGGAGCGAATGAACTCGCAGGCGGCTACCGTCACGTCCGGAGCGTTGGCCAACCTGCAGGCCAACACCGGTCTCAATCTGTCCAAGTCGAACAGTGAAATTACGATCACCCCGGTGGTGGCTTCCAATCTCCAGCAGTCGCTGATGGCTCACCAGCAGCAGCTACAGGAGCAGCAGAAGCAGCTGCAGCGGTTGCGGGAACAGCATTTCATGAATATGGTGAGTTGGATCGGCTGATTTGTTGTTGGTGGTGTTTTTGAAGTGGCCTTAGTTGGAAACTGTTGACTGCTAATAAACACTTGTCTGTTCTGTCGATGCATTTGTGTATGTGTGTTTGTCCACTTGTCTGTTTTGTTTTTTTTCGTAATTGTTTAGCTAAGAAAATGTCCAATTGATTTACGTCATATTTGTTTGTGTTTTATTTAAGCTATGCAATATTTATAATTGTTTTTTTTTCGAATTCACCTTTTACGCTTTTTATGTAAAAAAAATAGCATAACTTTCCTGTTTATATCTTAAAATTTGAGTATATTTTGCAAAACTAACGGATTCGCTGATTTTGCTACGATATTCCACTACTGGTGGATCTGGAACCGTTGATATTACCGAAGACAAATCAAGAAGACTGGCAACTCTTTTATTTTTTTATACGAACGCTATGAAACTGGTACAATCGCGTCATCTGCCGCTCAAAGGTAAATGCTTCGAACGAATTTGATAGCAAAGATTATATCCTCAGAAGAACGTATGATGTCTTTGATATTACGATAACTCCTTATAAATAAGATTCTGCAGTATTGTAAAATATTACACTGCTGCACCGCTTGAGTGATTGCGTAAGGCCTTAGAAAATTTGTTAATAATTGAAATCCGAAAGACTGTGCTCAGGAGATATTCACGAGCTAATTTTTTGTAGACTTGCTTACCCTACGTGATATATCTTATACGTCGTTTGTGTTCATAGATGATGATTAACAGAAATCCAAAATGGATGATTAATTTTAATCACCGAATTCCTCTAGTACCTGTATTTGTGATTAATTTATTGATTTACTCAAAATTCAAGAAAATCAATACATTTATAAAGTACAGGTTTAATTTATGCATTCAGCGATAGGCTTAAGACACATACAAACAGACGTAACTCTTCGAGCAATCGTTTTCACAAAATGTCGATATTTTAGTTTACCCTCCTACAATGTATCATGGATCAACCCCGGAATCTGTGCCTTAGGCGTTAGCCAAATGGTATTAATATGTTAAGGCCTTATGTTTAATCTCCAAAGTTAAATAAGCTTTTTGCCATGTAAATTAAATCTAGGGGTTTTTTTTTCGAAGACAACATATCAAGAAGAATGGCAACTTTGCCAAAATCCAACCGACAGATACAGTAAGGGTACGGCCAGGGTAGACGCGGTTCGCGACGCGACGCGACCAATTCAAAAGAATCTTATTATATATTATTATTCCTTGCCTGAGTCGCGTCGCGTGTCGCGTCTACCCTGGCCGCAGCCTAAAGCAGCGCTCGAGCGAAGGTGAAAGCAACGCACACTCATAAAATAAATCACATAACCAGTGGAAAATATCCATGTGAATTTCACATAACTTTCATGTGATCCCATAATTCGAAATTGCTCCACTAAATCACATGAACCTTATGTGTCCAATGAAAGCTATATAGCACATGGAATGTATGAGGTTATGTGATATTCAGATAAAAATCATTAATTTTGTTATTGGAAAAATATTATGTGCGTTCCTAATAGAAACTATGTGAAAACTTTTTTCAGTGCATAGAAACATAACCAAATACACAATCCTTTATCCTGAGAATGAAACCTTTGCTATAAAATTCGTTCGGCTCCAACTCAAAGGCAAATAGAGTGGAAGATGACGCGATTGTGCCAGTCTCCTACCGGTTGTATGAAATATTGGGAGAATTGCTTCTTGATATGTTGTCTTCGATTTTTTTAAAGACAACTTGAATTTCCAACCTACGCAAATTAGATTGTTCTGAAATTGTTCTTAAACTTCTTTCTTGAATTGTTTTGAGAATGTCTTCTGGGATTTTTCTGAGATTGCTTTCTTGGATTCTTCTGTAACTTTTCTGGCCATTCCTTCTGGAAATCTGCTGAGAATCATTTCTGGGATGCTTCTAAGAATCCTTTTTAAAAATCTTTTATGTATCTGTTATGGGACTTTTCTTGGATTCTTCTGGGAAATAACCTGGGAATCTTTTCCAATATTCTTCTAGTAATTTTTACTAAGATTGTTCTGGGATTTTTCTGAAAATTCGTTCTTGAATTGTTTGAGAATATATTCTAGGATTCTTCTGAGATTCTTTTCTTGGATTTTTCTGGAACTTTTCTGGCAAGTACTTCTGGGATGCTTCTATGAATCCTTTCTGAAATTCTTCTAAGAATATGTTCTAGAACTCTTCTTGGATTCTCTCCTACCCATTGGTGTTGTTGGTTTTCGTGAGTGAACTCCGAAGGGCGTTAGAAGTCTCATTTCTATTGTTGGTCTGCTCGAGTGGTTATCCAGGTAGTTAATAATTCATACTAATGGCTTTGTGAGTTCAACTTAAAGGCATAATTAAGCAACTCCTGAGATCTTCTTGGTCAACTCCAAAGATATCTTAGAACAATTCCAAACGGACGATAGCTTGATTCCATAGATCTTTGCAGGACGCTCTAGGCGTTGAATCACCTCATTTTCTATGATCATAAAGATAAACATCCAGAGACTGAGATTCTGGATTCCAGATTTAACATCCATAAATAATATAGACCAATCTAGGCCTCCTCCTCCACTAAGGGAAGATGCATAAATGACGTAGCATTAAGGGTGACCAGCCATGTAGAAAAATACGCTACAAGGGGAAGGGAGAGCAAAGTTGGTATTTCATGAAGCGTAAACAAAGATTAAACGTGTGTTAACGTTTAATGAAGCACCTGGGAATCCGATATTCTGCTGAAAATTCTTACTGAGTTTGTTCTGGAATTTTTAGAAAATCCTTTCTTGAATTGTTTTGAGAATGTCTTCTAGGATTCTTCTGAAATTATTTTCTTGGATTCTTCTGGCACTTATTGGCCATTCCTTCTGGAATTCTTCTATGAATCTATTCTGGGACTTTTCTTGGATTCTACTGAGATTCATTTCTTGGAAATTAATTGGGAATCTTTTATCTTCTAGAAATTCTTACTAAGATTGTTCTGGGATTTTTCGGAAAATCCTTCCTTGAATTGTTTTGAAAAAGGTTTTCTACGACTTTTTTGAAATTCCTTTCTTGGATTTTTCTCTAACTTTTCTGGGATTCTGCTGAGAATCATTCCTGGGATGCTTCTATGAATTCTTTCTAGAATTTTTCTATGAATCTGTTCTAGGATTATTCTGGGATTTTTCTTGGATTCGGGAATCATTTCTGGGAAATTACCTGAGAATCTTTACCGATATTCTTTTAGAAATTCTTAGTGAGTTGTTCTGGTTTTTTTTCTGAAAATCCTTTCTTGAATTGTTTTGAGAATGCCTTCTGGGATTGCTTTCTTGGATTCTTCTGGAATTTTGCTGGCTATTCCTTCTGGCATTCTGCTGGGAATCATTTTTGTGATGCTCCTATGAATGCCTTCTGGAATTCTTCCAATAATTTGTTCTAGAACTCTTCTTAGATTCAGCTGGGAATTATTTCTGGGAAATTACCTGAGGATCTTTTCCGATATACTTATAGAAATTTTTACTAAGATTGATCTGGGATTTTTCTGAAAATACATTCTTGAATTGTTTTGAGAATGCCTTCAAGGATTCTTAGATTATTTTCTTGGATTCTATGAATCCTTTCTGGAATTCTTCTATGAATCTGTTTTGGGACTCTTCAGGGACTTTTCTTTGATTCAGCTAGGAATCATTTCTTGGGAATTACTTGGGAATCTTTTCCGATATTCTTTTAGAAATTCTTAGTAGGTTTGTTCTGGAATTGTTCTTAAACTCCTTTCTTGAATTTGTTTGAGAATGTCTTCTAGGATTCTTCTGAGATTGCTTTCTTGGATTATTCTGGAACTTTACTGGCCATTCCGTCTGGTATTCTGCTGGAAATCCTTTTTGCGATGCTTCTACGAATGCCTTCTGGAATTCTTATATAAATCTGTTCTGGAACTCTCCTTGGATTCAGCTGGGAATGATTTCTGGGAAATTACCTGGGGATCTTTTGAGACATTCTACTAGAAATTTTTACTAAGATTGTTCTGGGATTTTTCTGAAAATCCATTCTTGAATTGTGTTGAGAATGTCTTCTAGGATTCTTAGATTATTTTCTTGGATTCTTCTGGAACTTTTCTGGTCATTCCGTCTGGGATTCTACTCAGAATAATTTCTGGAATGCTTCTTTAAATCCTTTCTGGAATTCTTCTATGAATCTGTTCTGGGACTCTTCAGGGACTTTTCTTGGATTCAACTGGGAATCATTTCTTGGAAACTACCTGGGAATATTTTCCGATATTCTTTTAGAAGTTCTTAATTAGATTGTTCTGGATTTTTTTCTTAAAATCCTTTCTTGAATTGTTATGAGAATGTCTTCTAGGATTCTTTTGAAATTGCTTTCATGGATTCTTCTGGAACTTTTCTGGCAATTCCTTCTGGAAATGTGCTGATAATCATTTCTGGGATGCTTCTAAGAATCCCTTCTGAAAATCTTCTATGAATCTGTTCTGGGACTTTTCATGGATTCTTCTGGGAAATAACCTGGGAATCTTTTCCAATATTCTTCTAGTAATTTTGACTAAAATTGTTCGGGGATTTTTCTGAAAATACTTTCTTGAATTGTTTTGAGAATTTTTTCTAGGATTCTTCTGAAATTCCTTTCTTGGATTTTTCTGGAACTTTTCTGGCAATTACTTCTGGATGCTACTTTGAATCCTTTCTGGAATTCTTCGAAGAATTTATTCTAGAACTCTTCTTGGATTCAGCTGGGAATGATTTCTGGGAAATTACCTGGAGATCTTTTCCGATATACTTCTAAAAATTTTTAACTAAGATTGTTCTTAGATTTTTCTGAAAATCCATTCTTGAATTGTTTTGAGATTGTCTTCTAGGATTCCTAGATTATTTTCTTGGATTCTTCTGGAACGTTTCTAGTCTGGGATGCTGCTGAGAATCATTTCTGGAATTCTTCTATGAATCCTTTCTGGAATTCTTCTATGAATCCTTTCTAGAATTCTTCTATGAATCTGTTCTGGGACTCTTCAGGGACTTTTCTTTGATTCAGCTAAGAATCATTTCTTGGGAATTAGTACGGAATCTTTTCCGATATTCTTTTAGAAATTCTTAGTGAGATTGTTCTGGAATTGTTCTTAAACACCTTTCTTGAATTGTTTTGAGAATATCTTCTAGGATTCTTCTTATATTAATTTCTTGGATTCTTCTGGAACTTTTCTGGTCATTCCGTCTGGGAATCTACTCAGAATAATTTCTGGGATGCTTCTATAAATCCTTTCTGGAATTTTTCTATGAATCTGTTCTGGGACTCTTCAGGGACTTTTCTTGGATTCAGCTGGGAATCATTTCTTGGAAACTACCTGGAAATCTTTTCCGATATTCTTTTAAAAGTTCTTAATTAGATTGTTCTGGATTTTTTCTTAAAATCCTCTCTTGAATTGTTATGAGAATGTCTTCTAGGATTCTTTTGAGATTGATTTCATGGATTCTTCTAGATCTTTTCTGGCAATTCCTTCTGGAAATGTGCTGAGAATCATTTCTGGAATGCTTCTAAGAATCCCTTCTGGAAATCTTCTATGAATCTGTTCTGGGACTTTTCATGGATTCTTCTGGGAAATAACCTGGGAATCTTTTCCAATATTCTTCTAGTAATTTTGACTATGATTGTTCTGGGATTTTTCTGAAAATACTTTCTTTTATTGTTTTGATAATGTTTTCTAGGATTCTTCTCAAATTCCTTTCTTGGATTTTTCTGGAACTTTTCTGGCAATTACTTCTGGGATGCTTCTATGAATCCTTTCTGGGATTCTTCTAAGAATCTGTTCTAGAACTCTTCTTGGATTCAGCTGGGAATGATTTCTGGGAAATTACCAGGGGATCTTTTGATACATTCTTCTTGAAATTTTTACTAAGATTATTCTGGGATTTTTCTGAAAATCCATTCTTTAATTGTGTTGAGAATGTCTTCTAGGATTGTTAGATTATTTTCTTGGATTCTTCTGGAACTTTTCTGTTCATTTCGTCTGGGATTCTACTCAATGCTTCTATGAATCCTTTCTGGAATTCTTCTATGAAACTGTTCTGGGACTCTTCAGGGACTTTTCTTGGATTCAGCTGGGAATCATTTCTGGGAAATAAGCTGGGAATCTTTTCCAACATTCTTCTAGTAATTTTGACTAAGATTGTTCTGGGATTTTTCTGAAAATACTTTCTTGAATTGTTTTGAGAATTTTTTCTAGGATTCTTCTCGAATTCCTTTCTTGGATTTTTCTGGAACTTTTCTGGCAATTACTTCTGGGATGCTTCTATGAATCATTTCTGGAATTCTTCTAAAAATCTGTTCTAGAACTCTTGTTGGATTCAGCTGGGAATGATTTCCGGGAAATTACCTGGGGATCTTTTCCGATAAATTTCTAGAATTTTTTACTAAGATTGTTCTGGGATTTTTCGGAAAAACTATTCTTGAATTGTGTTGAGAGTGTCTTCTAGGATTCTTGTATTAATTTCCTGGATTCTTCTGGAACTTTTCTAGTCATTCCGCCTGGGATTCTGCACAGGATCATTTCTGGGATGCTTCTATAAATCCTTTCTGGAATTATTCTATGAATCTGTTCTGGGACTCTTCAGGGACTTTTCTTGGATTCAGCTGGGAATCATTTCTTGGAAACTACCTGGGAATCTTTTCCGATATTCTTTTAGAAATTCTTTGTTAGATTGTTCTGGAATATTTCTTAAACTCCTCTCTTGAATTGTTTTGAGAATGTCTTCTAGGATTGCTTTCTTGGATTCTTCTGGAACTTTCCTGGCCATTCCTTCTGGAAATCTGCTGAGAATCATTTCTGGGATGCTTATAAGAATCCCTTCTGCAAATCATTTATAAAACTGTTCTGGGACTTTTCTTGGATTCTTTTAGGAAATTACCTGGGAATCTTTTCCAATATTCTTCTAGAAATGTTTACTAAGATTGTTCTGGGATTTTTTTGAAAATTCGTTCTTGAATTGTTTTTCTTTTTTCTTGGATTCTTCTGGAACTTTCTGGCCATTCCTTCTGGAATTCTGCTGAGAATCATTTCTTGGATGCTTCTACGAATCCCTTCTGGAATTCTTCTATGAATCTGTTCTGAGATTCTTCTGGTGTCTTTCTTTCATTCTGCTGGGATTGTTCGGGAAATTATTTCTGAGATTCATCTGAAATTTTTCTTAAAATCCCTTCCTAGGAACATTCGAAGTTGTATCGATGTTTCAAAGCATTCTTTAAGTCTTAATCATGGTCTACAAGAGTGTACTAAAACCCTGGAAAACTTCAATGAATTTCTTCTGGGATTTTTCTAAAAATCCTTTCTGGGAATCTTCTAAAAATCCTTTCTATAATTCTTCTGAGATATCCGTCCTAGAGTTCTTCCAAGAATCTTGATTTTTGTACGTCAGTCCTTGTATTCTGATGGGGGCGATTAAAATATGGCGTCCACTCTTGAGGGGGTCTAAGAATTTGGTCAATCGTGACAGGGGGAGGGGTGTAACAAATCGGAATACTTGTGGATTTCATGGTTGAATCGCCAGATAGGAATTATTTATGCAAATATCTTCTGGGATTCTTCTGGAAATTAAGATTCTTTTTCTTCTTCTAACTTTACTGGAAATCCCTTCGGGGATAGTTCTGGAAACGTCCTCTAGAGTTCTTCTAAAGCCCTTTTTAGGATTCTAGCTCAAATCTCTTCTAGGTTTATTCTGAGATTCATTCGAGACATTCTTCTTGAACTGTTCTGGAAATCCTTTCTGGCATTTATGTATAGGATTGTTCCGTAGGAATCCGTTGTACGATGTTTCTTGGATTCTGCTCATTTCTAAGACTTTTCTTGGAATCTCTTGCGGGAATTCTTCTGAGACTTTTCTGGAAATACCTTCGGTTATACAGGGTGACATGTGAAATCGAAAATAAAATCCGAGGTAACCGGGTCCGAAAAATAATAAAAAGATTTTGGATCTTTAAAAAAAGTAAGACCTTTGGATTGGAATAGAGTTTCAGGATACAATGATTTTGAAGAACCAGGTAAATTTTCAATACGTTTCATTCTTTACCAAATTTATTTCCATGCATACATTTTGTCTTATGTCTGCCCGAATGAAACCGTGATAATTTATTTTAAATTTGAGTACTTTATTTAAGACTGGAGCACTAGTGCCATAATTGGCTCACTTGCCCTACTAAGAGAAGTGCTAGATTTGGAAAACCAAAGGAAATTTACAATGTAGTTTTGGGACTGGAACTTCAAGTCAATTGTGTGAGTTCAGAGTAGATTTTTTAAGTAGCTCTGAGAAAAATTTCATATCGGTTGTAAAGAGGATTTTAGGATCCTCGAATAATACGAAGGGAACTGAATTTTGATTTTGATTTTCCAAAGAAATTTTGAGGGAAGTTTAGAGGGAATTCCAAGGATGATTTCAAGGGCATATCGGAAACGGATTTCTAGAGAATTTAAAGGACAATACCAAGTGAATTTTTTAGAGAATTTAGAGGAGTAACTCCAAGATAATTATGAGTGAAATTTTAAGGCAATTTTGAAGAGAAGTCAAGTGGATTTTAAATAGAATTAGGGAAGGAGGGGTTTTTTGAACAGGTGGGGCAAAGTGAGCTTCCTGTGTTTTAGCCTTGGATTTCTTATGGTTCGAAACAAATTAATTGGTTAATAATCATTACAATGGTGCTATTGAACCTACTACCAATTAATTAGTTTTGAACAATTGAGGTTTGGTATTGGAGTGCGGGATGTTCACTATGTATGCCCCTCTTACCCCTATGAAAGACAAATTCTGGAAAGAACCCTGTGCAGAGAAATTATTCTAAATGAAATGCTTGAGATCATTTTATCATAAACAAATTTTAAAGACTTCGAACGCAAAACCAAAGTTATGATCCAGAAAAAATGCTATCTTAGTAATAACCCATTTATCCCATTACCCATTACACTACTGTACCATTCAGCTTTCCGTTGTATGGTTAATATAAATGTATATCGCACAACCGAATAATTTTCAAAAAATCCGAAACTGGGAAGCTGGGAAGACCGGGGAATTGCTAATCAAGATTTATTGGTCACCATGGTTAGGGTCTGATGTTTGGCATAATGGACATTTTGCACAACGGTCACTTGGCATAATCGTTACGAATCGCAGAGCTAATAAAAGTTGCCCAACCAAAGATTACTTCTTTTCATTGCTGTTCGTTTTTTCGCTTAGAATTGCGTTTTAGAGACTTGTGAAAATATTTCTTCTTCGCCTATTTAATAAAAGAGGGTGTATTCCCTTTTTTTTAATATTCAAGCATTGTGCGTGAGCACTTAGAATATTTTTAAGTTTAAAAGAATCTCATTTTTTGAAAGTTTAGCGTTGATCGTATCGCATCTCGTCGCTTGTCGCGTCCACTCTAAACGTCTGGAATTATGAGGATCTGTATTAAGATTTAAAATACTTCTTTTTAAAATTTATTTTGTGGCTCTCAAGATTTCTATTAAGGCCATTGAAACGCTAATTTCACTGGATTTTCTTATGAAAACAGTTCGCTGAAAGCATTCAAACGATTCAGAATGAAGCACATGCTTAATATAATTATAACTGCTTTGAAAAGTTGCATGTGATCACTAGATCTCCAATCAAACTCGTCAAAGTCTATGGATCCTATACACTCGCTTCTAGTTCGATAATTCAATGTTGTGATGTTATGTTTAGCCAATCGCTTTTCCTCCAATCAGTTCCGTCGTATTATGTGTTATACAACACACTAGTTTACTTTTTCTGTGCAAACTTACACGACTTGCACACCTTGTACCATCGCCGACTAACAAACGGACATGTTTTTATCCACTACCTCCGCCAGGATGACGAAGCCGACGACAGCGTGGACCGGTTAGTCATCGACGAGGGTGACGATCACCACGGGACGGCGAACAATCCGCGCAACGACGGCCACCGTGAGTCATCCGGTGTCGTTATCACCACGCGCGGTGGAAACGGTCCCGAGTTCCACGAGAACGATGTGCCAGAATGCCAGGGCTGCAAGAAACGGGAGGCACAATTCGTGTGTGCCGGATGTGGCAACCAGTGGTACTGCAGTCGGGAGTGTCAGGTTAGTTGCTGTTGCAGAACTGTTCAATTTTACCAGAATTCTGAAACGTTTCATTGTAAATTGCAGGTGAATGCTTGGGACGATCATTCGGAAGTGTGCACTGGTTAATCCCACAAATGTAAACATGAACAGGTATTACAAAATTTTTTTTATCTGAAATGACCATTGAAATCAAATACCAAGAGACATTCAGCTTAGCAAGCCAGGAGAGAAATGAGCAGCCAAACTGCGTCGTCAGTTATCAGTATATGAAACGACTTGTTCTTAGAATTTTACCAAACAATTTCTTCTATGCGCATCTACATTACCCTTTTTAATCAACCTCTTTACAACACGACACAAAACTACATATATTTCAAAAAGCGCACCAACAAGTCGCAAAAAGTGCGTTTAGTTTGTCTATTCTATAGGTTCCTCTGCAGGAGATCAATAAATCCTCTCTTGCATAATTTTATAAAAGTCTTTATTTAAAAAAGGAGTTAAGTGAAAAACAGGACGTCAAAATTAGTAGTTAGAAACTAGTTGCATTTTTTGTCACATTAATATTAACCTTTCTAAAAGAGAAGATCATTGTACCACAGACAAACAGACGTAACTCTTTGAAAAACTTGTTCTTGAAAACATCGTATCTCAAAACATATAACCTCAGTAGCGACATCTCTCTGGCTTCTCGCGGAAAACAAGCTTGCTCGCTAACTCGTAAACAATATTGCATAAAAGTTCTATAGAATATATAGAAACGTCAAAGTTATCCGATGCCAGCGCTGCGGCGAGTAGTTCGCGGAACTGATAATATTCAAATCAACCGTTAAATGCATGAACGAAGATACACAATGAAGAGTTACGTCTGTTTGTCTGTGATTGTACCATCAACTTCCCCACTTAGTTTGTTCTTGTTAGTTCTACGGTATCAATACTTTAGCGCTAAATTCCTTGGTTAAACAAGTGAAACAGAATATCTTATTCCTCTACATTTATTTAGAAGAGACACTTGATTTTTCCATTCTGGTTTGAATTCACCGGCCACGGTCGGGAACAAAGTGTAAGATCCCGACAGCTAAGGAAAACGATTGACTATAGGCAATTGTTCACTATGGATAAATTATAATAACATTTAATCAAATACATATTTACCTACTAGCACTATGAAATGAAGAAGAAGATACACTCTGACTAAAATGATTTGCTAACAATAACGAGAAGAAAAAAATCTAGACTTTCACGAAAAGTAGTGATTTACCGGATTTAGGCAAGAATAAGAGAATAAGAAAGCATTGTAACTTATCACGGAATTTAGCACGTAGTTGTCAAAGTAGCGTAAGCAAGCTGAGAAAGGTTCAAGTAAATAGCGGAGGAAAAAAAATAAGGTTTTGCTATTGATGCCAGTTTGTCCCGAAACCCGATTAGGGCGAGTGAATGGTAACAAACTGCTCGTGAAAAATGAGCAGGATCGAGGATCGAGAATGTGTTGGAGACAAGATAGGGATAGGTGTGTTAAGTTCAAACTGAATAAACACTGCAAGGAAAATCATTAGTAAAAGCCTTTGTATTTTTTTTTATTCTAGCTAAAACAGCCGAAAACCTTTGTTAGATTGGTTTGTTATATTTGTTGTGTTGTGTCTGTGTGACCGGTAAGCTTCTTAACATTTTTTACTGTCTTTTTTTAAGTCATGCTACTGAAGAGCAGTTCCACGCCAAATGACGAATCGATCTGATGCGACCTTCTTCGATTTGCATATATCATAACTCGAAAATGTCGCCTTCAACCAAAATTACATCTACATAATAAATTCCGATTAATATATGTATATGCGTCCAATTAAATTCCCGGTTTTCCTGGTTTAGATGCCACCCTGATAACTGAATCCCCCTAATTTTCAATTAATATTGTACTAAGCACCAAGTTTGGAAACCAGGCGTTTGATTTGAGAAAATTCACTTCTACTGTATTTTTAATCAATATCAAGTTCACTAAACAGCTTAACGTAGTCTTGTACACAACCCCACCAATATTTTTTTTTTCAGATTGTAAACGATACCCCCTTAGATTAGTCGGTAAAGGCGCAGCTACGAAGCAAATCCATGCTTGAAGGCGTCTGGGTTCGATTCCCGTCCGGTCTATTAATTTTTTGGGTTGAAAAATTTCTCGACTTTCTTGGGCATATAAAATTTCTCAATTAAAATTTGGAAGTGCTTCGAAGAACACTTAGTTGAGAGCAGCAAAAAAAATCAAATTTGGTATAAGCAATAAGTTTGAAATGCCATGTAGTAGTAATATAAATGGTATTTTAAGCAATGATAACAGGTTTTCATTGGTCGCGGATTAGTATTTAAAGCCGCAGACTTTTTTTTTTTTGAGCAATCGCGGATTTCGCGGAAAATCTTGTAACAGCCCTGTTCTTATAAGTTTAAAGCTGGAAAGCTTTATCTGAGCCTTGGTTGATCTTAGGAGATTTTAACACCTACGGTACAGGTTGGGGGGAACTGTACGATGACAAACGCTCAACCCTGATATACGACATTTGCGATAACTTCAATATGACAATTCTAAACACTGGGGAAGTAACACGAGTGGCCAAACCTCCAGCAAGAGAAAGTAGATTAGACCTCTCCCTCAGTTCGAGTTCACTATCGTTGGATTGCACGTGGAAAGTAATCAGTGTAGTGACCACTTGTCAATCAAAATTTCTATTACCAATGGTTCATCGTCTACCCACTCTGTTGATATCGCGTACGATCTCACGAAAAACATCGGCTGGCAAAAATTTCCGTCCGCGGTTCTCGGTGGTACTGATTCGGTTGAGATACTCCCTCCGTTGGATGAGTACTCCTTTTTATCGCGACTTATCGTTGATAGCGCTCTTCAAGCACAGACAAAACACGTTCCGGGTGTTTCCGTTGGTCAAACGACCACCCACTCCGTGGTGGGATAAGGATGGCACCGACGCAAACAGCGAGAAGTTCGCCGCGTTTAAACGTTTCCGCAAACACGGTAAGGTCGGGGATTTCGAGCGATACACCGACCGCGAGAAAACTTTTAGGGGCTTGATTAAAGCCAAAAATGCGGTTACTGGCGTCGGTTCGCCGATGGTTTATCGCGAGAGACTTCCATGCGAACATTCTGGAATGTCGGCAGGAAAATGCGAAGCGCGTCATCACCGGTTAACGGTCGGTTCAAACCAACGTTCGTGATCGTCCGTCGGGTAGTAAGGAAATAGATTCCCCGGTTTTCGATGGTGGAATTATCACTTGCTCTCCTCTCATGTAACAACTCAGCTCCAGGAATGGATAGAATCAAGTTCAACGTGCTTAAAAATCTCCCAGACGTAGCGAAGAGACGCTTGTTGAACTTGTTCAATCAATTTCTGGAGCACAACATTGTTCCGGATGACTGGAGGCAAGTAAGAGTTATCGCCATCCGAAAACTCGGTAAACCCGCGTCGGATTATAACTCGTATCGTCCCATCGCGATGCTGTCCTGTATACGAAAATTGTTGGAGAAAATTATCCGTCCATACAAATGGGTCGAGTCGAATGGTTTACTTTCAGATACGCAATTCGGATTTCGGAAAGGCAACTGAAATTCGCAAAAAAAAAATGCGCAAAAATAGCATATGGGTTCAGTTTTCTCGGACATTAAGGGGACTTTTGATTCTATTTGTATCGATGTCATTTCGGATAAACTCCACGATAGTGGGCTTTCACCAATTATGAACAACTATTTGAGCAACTTGTTGTCTGAGAAATATATGAGCTTTTTTCATGGAAACTCAACAACTTCACGAATTAGTTACATGGGTCTCCCCCAAGGCTCATATTTAAAGGGTGATACGGTCAAAATTTGGTCAAGGGAAAACGCGTGTAAATCGGTGAAATCGTTTATTTAAAAAATCAAATTAACTTTCTTTTTCAAGTTCAATTAGTATAAAATTCAGGAAAAATATTCAGTTAGGCTTCCGCTTTTCCAAATCCGAATTGCCGGGCCTTACGCTTGACCCCTGCCATCAGATTTTGTACAGCCACCTTGTCCACCTTCTTCGCCGCAGAAAGCCAGTTTGCCTTGAACTGCTGCTCGCCCTTAGCAGTTTTTTTTGGTCTTCTTTAGGTTCCGCTTGACAATAGCCCAGTATTTCTCAATTGGGCGGAGCTCTGGCGTGTTGGGAGGGTTCTTGTCCTTGGGAACCACCTGCACGTTGTTGGCGGCGTACCACTCCATGGCCTTTTTACCGTAATGGCAAGATGCCAAATCCGGCCAAAACAGTACGGAACAACCGTGTTTCTTCAGGAAAGGCAGCAGACGTTTATTCAAACACTCTTTCACGTAAATTTCTTGGTTGACAGTCCCGGAAGCTATGAAAATGCTGCTTTTCAAGCCACAGGTACAGATGGCTTGCCAAACCAGATATTTCTTTGCGAACTTTGACAGTTTCATGTGCTTGAAAACATCTGCTACCTTTCCCCTTCCTTTTGCCGTATAAAACTCCTGTCCCGGAAGCTGCTTGTAGTCGGCTTTGACGTAGGTTTCGTCGTCCATTACCACGCAGTCAAACTTCGTCAGGATCGTCGTGTACAGCCTCCGGGATCGCGCTTTGGCCGTCGTATTTTGTTTATCATCGCGATTTGGAGTCACTACCTTCTTGTAAGTCGATAGTCCGGCTCGTTTTTTGGCTCGATGCACGGTTGTAGACGATACACCCAACTTATTTGCGGCATCTCGGAGAGAGAGGTTAGGGTTTCGCTTGAAACTACCGGCAACTCTCTTTGTCGTCTCAGTGGCTTCCGGTTTTCGATTTCCCCCCGATCCAGACTTCCTGGCTGTCGACAAACGTTCCCCAAACACTTTAATTACATTTGTAACGGTTGATTTGGCAACTTTTAGCGATTTTGCCAACTTTGCGTGCGAGTAGCTCGGATTTTCGCGATGCGCGAGCAAAATTTTGATACGCTGCTCTTCTTGCTTGGACGGCATTTTGACAACTGAAGAGTGAATTCCAAAATCAAAATAGGAGCAACATTCTACACACACACACCTTCAAAATGAGGGGTGTTCAGGTTTTTTAAATGCAAAATTGAAAGAAATACGTCAAGTTGATATTGACCAAATTTTGACCGTATCACCCTTTAAGCCCTCTTCTTCTTAATTTTTATGTAAAAGACATTGATGGTTGTCTTGATGAAAATTGCTCGCTAAGGCAGCTTGCAGATGACGGCGTTGTGTCCGTTATAGGGCCAAGTGCACCGGACCTGCAAGGATCATTGCAAGATACCTTAGACAACTTGTCTACTTGGGCTATGTAGCTGACGATGAGCCTCAAAGTACTCGCGGGTGTTCTCCCACCAGAAATGCCAGATTTACAGACATGTCTGTGAATTTACAGACTTTTATTTTTTTCACAGACATTTTTTTTCGTTACAGACATTTACAGACTTTTTAGTTCTTTCACAGATATTTACAGACTTTTGTAATCAAGGGAAAATTTTAAAGTTTATTTGGTTACACTGTTTTACACCTTTAATCAAATTACACGAGTGATGCATTTTGCAACACGCATTAGAAATTCGCGCGTTTTCA